GGGGAGAGGGGGCCAGCAGCACAGGGATGCTGTGGGGGGACAGGGCGGTGGGCAGCCAGCCCGGCAGGAGGGCAGAAAGGCACGTCCCCAGCCACAGGGACCTGTGCTACCCAGCCCAACAGGGCCGTGGGTGCTCCAGGGTTTGTCTCGAGGATTGTGTCACAGGGAAACCCTGCAGTCTTGCCACTGAGAAAAACGTTTTGTGAAGTTTCCAAGTGTCCTTAATTCCTCAACTTCCGCCTTTTGGGAGTGCTCCTAGCCATTTGGGCTCCTCTCCTCATCCTGGAGAGACTGTGACCTGGCCAAGGATTGAGCGCAAGGATTTCTCTCGTGTCTTTTTGCACCTTTGGTATGCAACAGATTAAATCACATAGGTCACCTTCCAGGTATTAAATATCACCAGGAAGGTTTGTCCTGCTAGGAGCGCGTCCCTTTACTAGATGTCCCTGGGAAAAGGGCTGGCTAGAGTAAGAGGTCCGTAAGGCACAGGGCAGGGGGTTCTGTGCACTGCTGCTTTCCAGGGGCTGCCACTGGTAGGTAATGGCCCTGGTGAGAAGCAGCATTTAATCCCAGCTGACGTGTCTTCTGCGCTGCTGATGCTGCTGAGACTGGCAGAGCCCTGCAGCCCGGGGAGCACGTGCAGCTGCCCGGCAGGCTCCAGCGTTTGCATTCACACGGATCGATCTCTACCCACCAGCCGGGCTGGGAAGCAGGGGAGAGGAGACAGCTTTGGGGTGGTGGGAGAACATCTGTGTGATTCAGATACGGGGCTGGGCTCCCTGGGGCAGGGGCAGGCGCAGCTCTAAATCCAGTCAGGAGGAAGCATTGGTGGGAGTGAGAGAGGGAGAGGAAAGCAACCGATTATGAAGCAAGTTTGTTTGGTTCTTGTCCTATTTCTTTCTGCCCTCTTCCCTAGTAATGTAGGAGGGAACAACCTCTGGAGGAAGAGTTGGATGTAAAGCTGGATATCTCTCGGTACCCTCCATAAATAAGGCACATTCCCCAAGGAAACTCTGCCTGTCGTGTACGTGCTGTACACAGCCTTGTACTTCTCTCAAAGAGTTTTAGATGCTGTAGGATACTCAGCCAGGACTTGGCAGCCACAGGGTAGCCGCTGGTGTTATTGAAGGCCCACTGAAAGTGAAGCGAAAACAAATTAAAATACTTTCCTTTCCCTCCTTGAAATATAACCCCTGATACATTTGATCCAGCTGTAAAGAAACTAATATGTTTGTGACAGTGGCTTTATCAAGCCAGGCCACAATTAAGAACAGCTCTGAATATAAGCTACTGCCTTTATAAATCACTCTCAACTAACCCTTCAAATGGCACCACAGCACAATGAACAGAACTTCTTTACAGTATTTCAGGAGCCAGGGCCAAATAAAATCTGGATGGAAACAGCTCCAGGGTTATTTATAGCCTTTGAAAGACCTGTGCAATTGTCTCCCCGTAACCTGAATCTCTCCAGAAGAGCTCCCCTTGACTGCATCGGCTCCACTCGGTTGAGGCGGGCAGATCAAACGAACACCTTCTGAGCTGTTAATCTTACCCAACAGGTTATTAAATAATGCTTCTGCTGTTAGACTAGTACACAGTTTCTTCCTCCCCCCTAAAAAAAAGTGCTACAAGTACAATATATGGATGTATCCTGCAGGTGAGGAGCTAAGGAGGAAGAACAGTCTGACCTAGCTGGGGAACAAGACCAAAAAGTATTACATAGCATCTCATCAATCTCTGGTGCCATTGTTCTGGGAGAAAATTGCCATTTGCTGGTTTAATATCTGGTAGAGGTACGGTATTTTCAAAAGTGTAATGTGTAACTACAGTATATATAGTCAGCTTCTCTGCAGTGTAAAATGTATGATTTTAGCACCATATTGTGGAAAAATATGTACCGTGCAGAATTCACGAGGTGCTACAACTGACGGTTGAAAATACACACTTGCAAAATCCAAAAGAGCCGTTAAGTAACAAGTTGTTCTTTTCCCCATATGTCCATATGTTTGGGAAAATCATGAGTCTGAAATGCTTTTGACACGTAATTGCCTCGCACTCCCTCATCCAAAATGTGCCAGTCCAGCAGTACAGTTACTGACGTAGCGGGTGTGAAGGGAGGGTTTGGGTTTGCCGCAGGAGCAGCGTGCCGTACGTGTGCGTGTGAGCAGGAGTCGAGACACGGGGGAGAGAGGCCCGCTGTCGCGTGAGGCTGGAAGCTTTGGTTTCCCGAGCTGGTGGCGTGCAGCCTGCGTTTCTGGCTCTGGCGCAGGGCCAGCTGGGCCCAGCAGTTGAAAGATTAAGAGATAGAAAAAGAGCCTGTGGATTTTCTGAGTGACCACCCACTAGTGAGCCATGATCTTGGCCTGCAAGCAGACATTACCACTGTGACATATTATGATGCAGAAGTCTCTAGGCACCCCTTGAATGCATAAAGAAGTACCAATTGCCTTTTGTGGGGAAAAATAAGGGGAACTAAACATTAAAAAAAAAAAAAGGCTCCTGCCTTGAAAAAGTGCATGCAGCCCTGAATTCCAATTCACTCCAGCTTCCTGAGCTAGAAATAGCTTCACATGCTGCCTAATGTTTTTACAGATGAATTGTGCTACCTCCTCCTCCCAGCCATCACAGATTTGTTTATCAGAGAGTTAGTGCTGTGAGTGAATCCTACCGACGGCGCTGCCAGGGCCGCATCCTGATGCTCTGCCCTGAGCAGGGGCTGCTCTGTGCTGCCGAGAGGCCCTACACCTGTGCTCCCCGTCCCAGTTGTTCTGCAGAGTCTCAGAGCCTTACGTGCGAAGTTGGAAGCACTATTCGCTGTCTCTGCGTGGAAGAGAAGGCTTTATAAGACACTGTTCTGTTCTGTTATCGTGGGGGAGAGAGAGGTGTTTGTGATCCTGACAATACCTGTGTGTTCAAGTGAATCTGATTTAAAAATCATGTGTGATTGTTTGGGGGGAGAAATTCAACGCGCAATTTGAGAGGTTTTTTTCTAGTACCGCATCAAAGATTTTGATCTTTTGTTACATATTGCTATGTAAATTTTACCTGTTTTATTTTGCATTAAAATAAAGGCTTTAAGACTATATATGATAATGTGTTTGTATGTAGTTTTTCTGTTCTTTGTACCTACAAAGTCATCCTCACCCCTGGATGTGATTTGATATCAGAAGATCATGTGTGATCAGGCCAGACCAGAATTGGTAAAGTGACGTTTAAAAAAAAAAACAAACCAAAAAACATAAAAACACAACAGCTGTGCACTGCCTTGTAGAAAAAAAACACCACAGAGCTTAACTTGATTCCCTCTCAAATCTGCATTGTTTTCAGTTGTAGAGCTGGAGTCCTGGTTTCACAGAATCACAGAATCACAGAATGGTAGGGGTTGGAAGGGACCTCTGTGGGTTATCTAG